CAATATCATTCGTACCCTCCTATCGACACATCGGGGGTGGGGGGGGGGGAGGGGAAAGAAGACGATTCTAGAACATCGCGTAATCATCGGACCCGAGGATATATAAGACACGCGCGACCGACGCGCGCTCTCTTCTCCCGCCGCAGTCGTCGTTGAACTACAACCTCCTCTTCCCGCGCGCTCGTTTGGAAACACCTCACTAGTGGAAACCGCTTTGGCCTGGAAGCAGTCGAGCTCCAGGAACCCGCCTCACCTCGTGTGACATATCGTCGCGCACCGCCTCTCTCCGGAGTGTTCCAGAAGTCGCTATAGTGATCGACAGGAAGAAGAAACCCCGGTGAGTCAATACTCCTTAATTATACCTGCTTGCTAATAATTTAACCCGCTCCAATCTGTGTTTTTTTTCCTAGTCAAGCAGGATTCCTTTCATCGATTCGACAAGTAATAGTTTGGTTTAGGGAAGAGCGAGTGCATTGTACCGCATGCTATAGTAGTCGCTTTTAACGTAAGCGTAGAAGCAATCGCATATACAGTCCACTTTAGTTAATATCTCGCGTAATAGGTTTGAGGTTTGACCGGGGAACTAGATTTTCGGCAGCCTTAAACACGTGGCTCCACCAACGTCTTTAACGATTTTCCATCGAAACCCATTATTTATTGAATAAAATTAAAAACACGGATTCTATCGCGTTTAATTTACTTATTTTTAATTACCGACGTTTCGGGTGATTTACAGCACCCATAGTCACGGGCGGGACTCAACGTCGGTAATTAAAAATAAGTTAAAATAAGTAAATTAAACGCAATAGAAATCGTATATTTAGTTTTATTCAATGTGTTGTATTTTAGTTTTATTCACGTAAATTTAATCATTAGTAAAGAAATCATTATCCCACTTTGTTCTTTGGACTTGGCTTACCTCCTCTGGGATTACAGGCGCGACATGTGATGAGTACGCAGCTTTATTAGTAGTATATTTGTAGCACGAATAGGTCGGCTCCACTGAAGTAGGACCACGCTCTCACTGAATACCAGCGTAAAATAGCAGTTTAATACTGCTGTGTTTTGTATAACGAGTGTAAAGAATCGGAAATTGGAAAACACGAGTAAAAGTTTCTACTTTAATTTAAAAATTATCCCAACTTGAATATGATTTATGGCCAACAACACGCGTCTGCACGCTACTGCGTGCGCGTTTCAATTTATCAAGTTTTAGCCTACTTTTTATTTTAAAGACACCGACTATTTACTCATGTGTTGACACGCTCACTACTAATATTTAAGTCAATAATTACATGACACTAGTTATGATTCCAATTTTCCCTCCACACTTTTAACGGGCTTAGAATCAATAATATTTTTGCTTACCAGCAACGTAACCGAAGACTGTCATTATTATGGCGTATTTAAAAAAGTATAATAAAATATTTACAACTAAATTTCACAAGTAGTCTCAATAACTAATATTAGTACCTAAAAATGGAATCCGTTTCTCTTCATATACATACGAGCAGGTTTTATTAACTTTTTTTGATACATATTCTTCGTTTCCTTTAATTCATTCGTGATTAAGCAGTTTTAACTTCCGGTTTTCATAAACTTGGGCCTCTATGACGTAAACTCGACTCTTTATTTCACTCTAGAGATAAACATCTCACGATGAAAGTTCCGGAAAGTGTGCAGGTCATAGAATAGGGCCTTCATTCGCAATCTACCAACCTTTATATTTACTATATAAATGATCGCTCACTGCACTCGAATAGTTTAATTAGCTGTCAATTGTTCTTCCATTAGTACGTACGCAGGAGTTAATTTCTTGCCGCGGTAAATACTCACTTCCAAATAATCTTTGCGCACCACTTTTATTGTTTAAAATGTAACACCCCTCCATTTCATAGTTTCATCGTATTTGCGGTTTGAATATTTTCGTACTATCAATGGTAACGAGCGATAGAGTATGCAATATTGAAATTTTCAAACCCTTCATCATCTTCTTTTAAATGGCCACGGTGAACATTGACAGCTGCGGCCGGTCAAGCTGAGGTTGGTACCTATCGGTGTAAAGGTTAACGGAAGGGAAGGGCGTAGGAAGATCCGCGACAAGGTACCTAAATTTGTAACGAGCGACCCTTACGAATGTGTGCGTGAAAATATAGTAGGCGTTAGATATTTATTAATGATCATCAGTTAAAAGCAGGCATTACCACGCACTCTGAATTTGAAAGATAAAAAGGACAGAATGTTTGAGATTTTTTTATGCATCTTTCGCCTTTATCACTTATTCTGAACCTTCTCTGAAAATTTGGGCATATATTGCAAAATAACCGTGTATAATAACTAAAACTTTACTTAAATTATCGATTAAAGAAATTACACTGCTTTTGTCATCTCTATTTTATTAAAAATATATTTGTGTCAGGTACCTTTATCTATGTTGTGAACTCGTCAGCGGACTACGGCTGGGTACAGTGTGTTGCGTCCAACTTAGTGGGATCGCAGACACTTCCCTGCGTGTATCACATTTTACCAGGGTATGGTTATATAATTTAAAATCGTATTTTATTCGTCATATTTTTAAATCGTGCTTTTGTATGTTTATCAGATTATACCTTTATTGCAATAATTAATAAGGTTTATTAGTGCCACGCTTTCATATAGGCGGCAAAATTCCGAGAACTATTAGATTTTTGGGCACACATCAAAGGAATATATGTGGTTGCTTGTGCGCGCATCTAAATTATCACCTATTCATTTGTGCCTAAAACATCAAATCGAGCAAAAAAGGTGTTTTTGTATGACGGAGGCTAGGTTTACCAAAGATCCATACATTTTTTGTTTCATAGTTTTTTACTAAGCACATTTTAAAGACTTTATTTTATACTTGACAGACTGATGGATAGCTGCGCAATGATCATGGAGATGATGGTTGAATGAGTAATATTCCTGAACCCTAGACCAATGTTAAGAAAGGCCAATTAAGTCAGCCTACTCCTAACAGAATCGAGCTCTGAATCAATCGAATTTTATTAGAACTTTAGGCTTATTGATTACTATCAAAACCGTAACTAACGCAGAATCGAATGGTGGTGTTCAAATTGGAATTATCATAAGTCTTTAGCTGCTCACCGATGATGATTGTAATCGTAAACGATGAGATAGTTTTAATAAATAAGTTTGTCCGATTATATGCCATAAAGTATTTATGTAGTGAATTTTTAATTTATGAAAAATGATCTCCGGATAAAAAATATCCGATTGTGCCTAACAGCGCTGATAATGGTTGATCGTAATTTGATCGCGTTTCTCGATTCAGATTGGTTTGCGTGGTTATAAAATAAGTATTGAAACAAATTTTAAATCGACAATATAGATTTTGTAAAAAATTGAGTGCTGTATTTTGTAAATTTTGCGTTTAATTTAAAAAAGATAATAGTTGAAAATTCGCCTTTCATTATTTATTTACGAGGATTGTGTATATGGAACAAACATTAATAATATTTGTATAACCCTATATATATGTTACAATTGTGAAACTGACAAAATTACAAAATTTGATACAATAAAATAAAAAATTAAAACATCAGGATAATAATATGGAAACGAGAGAAGGATAATTTGCAACGCACTAATGAAAGCGTACTGAAGCGTAATCTATCTACATAATCCCGAAAACTCCCATATTTCATCTTCGTTTAATAATTGTTTTTCTCATCGGTAAACGGATTTCATTGTTGTATTTTTACTGTTAATCATGATATAAATTGTGTTTATTTTTTATCTATCTATTACAGCCTATAAAAGTGCACTGCTAAACATAGTCCTCATCCATTGAGATTTTCACAGAACGGCCGCTATAGTTGCTACACTGAGCAGGCGGGTTGTCAACCGCATGTTTTTATAATTTGGAGTTATTATCAGGAACATGCTGCTGCCCGTCTCCTGTTTCAGTTTCCTTCTGTTGCCTTATACGACACCATGATATGGGTTAATGAGATATTCTAACGCAAATGTTCAGTTACAGACAAACATCACATATTTTATTTATTTATTCTTATTAATCAATCATATTTAACAACTTCTCTGTCTTCAAAAAGGATGATCGTTAAACAATCAAAATGTTCATATATGATTCACAAGACATTGAAATGTAGTGTTAGTATTAGGAGTAGTTCACGATAGCAGATGAATGGCGGATTCAAACCATTTTTTACATTCAGTACAAATACTTTTGTTGCAGTCAGTACCTTAATCATTAGACTACTGCCGCTTGTAAAGTTATGATTAGTTTCCTATTTCATATGACATATCCAGTAAAAGTGACGAGAAGCTTAAAAGATGCGAGGTGTATGGTGCTTCAATTGTAGTAAAATCTCCTGCTAACCATAAGGAATAAAAGTAAATCCATCCATATTAGATTTGATGTGCTTGACTGTTGATTATTCCACCATTGTGTTCAAATATATGCCGTGTAGTGGCGACGTAAGGGTATCTATTACCCTATATGATCCGGTGGGTGGCAAAAGAGGCAAGTACTACTGAAACAGCAGATAGTTCAAAATAATTAAAAACTGCGGTTATCAACCCACCAAGAATGGCAACTATAGCAAATATCCCCTTTATGACGCAGTCTATGGTAGGTTTGTTCTGTGGTAGACTTGGCTGTTAATTGATTGAGTTGAAGTCTTGAATTATACTTTAAAGATATAATATTTAATTTTGTATTTTAAAAATTTCATATTAAATTAAAATACCCATTAATAAACTATAAGAAACTGCAAGGTTATATCATAAAACTATTTTAATACGAGTAATAATATACAAGACCTTCTAAAATAATTTGATCAAACAAAACTACTGGAAGAGTACTTCATAAAAGCACTTTTGACCTACATTGCTGAATTCGATCGGAACCATTCGTTTGAATATGTATAATATGATATTTTCTCTTATTCCACAATACGAACGCTTTAATCTTAGTTATTTGAAAATATTGGCTTCAGTCTTTATGTGGTTGTACTATTTGTTTAGAAAAGCCGTCAGCAGTCAGGAATTGTAATATCACAAATGTGACGTATGATTCCCTCACACTAAACTGTACACCAGGTCATGATGGCGGTGTCCGCCAAACGTTTTTTCTGGAGGTGAGTGAACTTTCATACACATGTAAATATGGAATATTTATGTTGTTTTTAAAAGAGTGTGCATTTCTTGGAATTCAATAATATTTGTGTTGAACTATTTTCGGATCATAATCATCTAATTTGTGATTTTATTTTAATTGGAATTAGTTTCAAGGGATATGGACCCACCGAGAATTTTTGTTCTTAGTGAAATCAGTTACGGATCTAGTGAGTCTTTAATCAAATTAAAAGATGACTAAGATAAATGCCAGGAAAACGGCTTCCGATAGATGGTTGTGCATCAATCTCGTGTGCAGCAAGTGTTATATACTGGATAGGCAGCAGCGTCAGAGACGACCAGTGCTACGTTCGTCAATTCATCCGCCAAGTGTAACGATTAAGTCAAATCCTCCCTTCAACGCGAGAGACTCATGACCAGCAATGAACATATATGGGCTAATAAAAATGATTTAAAATCTTTTTTAAAACAATATGTACTAAAATCGAGTCCACTTGATGGTAAGCGGATCATTTACATCTATCCGCGATTAAGAATCTCTTAGATAGATTTGTTAACACACTTGAGAACTTGAGTTACGGAATTCCTCGTTACTAGTAAAAGCTTCTCCTATTCTCTATACTTACCAAATTAAATGCAGTAACATTAAACTGCAAATTTACCCTAGAATAACGTAAGAGCGTAGTTTTTTCTCTATTGAGGCGATCCATTTGTGCTACAACTACAATACGGCTGCAGCATGGTAGTACCACGATCAGACCAACAAAAAAAGATAGACGCAGCGCTGCGTACATTTCAAGTGATGCCGACACCATGCTTAACTTCTTGACACGCACACACGCACACGTGTTTCTTCTTTCTTTCTTTATTAGCCTGTAACAATTTACTGTTTGTTGAACGCAGAACACGCACTACCTATGACGATATTTTGTTTGTAAGCTCTTGGTCTTACAATAAGTTTAACTCGATTTTGGCTTGGATTTTGCATCACGTTTCTGTACGCACGCTCCATCTTTTTTGTTGGTATAAGTACCTCGTAAAATATATGTTGGTTAATTAACGGTATCTCTTGCTGAGATATTAATGAGTAGAGAATTATTTGTACGGCTTCATATTATGTGCACGATAATATTTTAGGTTTTCGACAAAACAACAGGTATGTTACTGCGTAACATAAACAACGAAGAGCCGCTCTTTGAAGTACCGGGACTTTCCACCAGTGGCATCTTAGCGTTGTCAATAAGGTCGTATAACAGTAAAGGCTTAAGTGAAGCTTTTACGCTTGCCTGTAGTCTATTGCAATATCCGGAACGAAGAACAGGTAAGTTGTGTGTTGTAATCTATTATTGATAAAGTAATACAGATAGTAAATATTTTCTCTGTGTTTAAGATTTAAATACATTCTGAGTTCCCACCGTGTGATATTATATACATTTAAGTACATAAATTATGACATTGTATGTATCGTGAAATTTTTATGACATTAGCAAAGAACTGGATATTTAGAATCTACGACATATTCAGTTTAGACTTTTCATTGCAAGCTCGTGTCATGAGTTCGAATCCGCTATTCGACTACTATGGTGTTTAGTATAACTTTTGACATAAGTGTCTGGAGTATAAAGTATATTAATCACACCCTTAGTGAATAAGATACTGAGGCCTTCTAACCGGTTCCATCCATATATTACAGCCTTTCATAAGCCCACTGCTGAACACAGGCCTCCTCCATAGATACGGGGGATACTTGGCATACTTGCCATGCTGAACAAGCTGTTTAGCAACCGTAGTTTTTTTTGATAATTTTGAGTTGTTAGCAGGAAGGTAACGGAAGGTTACTTGGGGTCCCGGATACAATACGTTAAATTTTCCTTCAAACGCTAATCTCGCTGTCATGGTGCACCTTAGTGACTGACGAACGATAGAAATCAAAAATGCTAAACATAAATTTCACAGACTGGTGAAGAATAGGTATAAGTATTGCCAATGCGAAGACCTTTAACTTGCTTCCGCAGCGCGGTTAGTATGGACAGATCTTCCAGAAAATAATCTCTCTAAAATTAGAGGGGGGCCTGTGGCCAGCAATGACACATATACAGGTGCAAATTACTTTTAAATGTTTTCACGGTAAAGGTAATGAGGACGATAATAGATTTTTAAAATGAATACGCAAGCGGTGTTTGTGGCAAATCGAAGTGATACAATCCACGCGAAATAATTTTTTTTTAATTTTTATCCAATATTAAAATGAGTTTTGAATATACAGGGTAGCACCTCTATTCCTAGGAGTCTTTCTTGGTAGGTACTAACCTTTTAACTACTTCTTTTGTGTTTCGGCCTGAAGGATATAGAGAGCCAGTACAATTACGGGCTATTTAACACTCCACCTTAGTCATTAGAGATGACAACAACATTTAACTTTTTTTTAAAGTTGGCTACAGGTATCTCTGGACTGCAGTGGTCATTTACCATCAGGAGGACGGTGAGTTCACCGATAGCAAGACGTTGATGATAAGGTTTTTTGTTTATAGAATAAGGGTGACAATGAACACATAGTCTTTTTGATGGTAAGTGGGTGCTGTGGTGTGGTGCTGTACGACATCTACCCTCGATTTAGAATAAAAATGGAGATGCGTTGTCACCCATGAAGACAAATACGGAATGCCACGTTTCTATTTACAAGGGTCTCCAGTTATCTACATACGCTATACAAAACACAGCAGAATTAGGCTGCTGTTTTACGCTGGTATTCTGTGAGAGTGTGGCTCTTCCCTGATCGAGTTGAGCATAATATAGCCGCAGCGTGGCTTTTCCACGTATATTCAAAATTCAAATTAAATAACTTTATTTTGACATAAAACTATTATGATAAATATTTCATTAAATACATAGGCTCTCATACTAGTGTAAAATTGTGTTTCTGGAGCTAGTGTTAAGCTCATTACCATGTGTTATAAATAACTTGTGATTGAAAATATGTTATGCTAAATAAATTGCATAAAATTGTATCATTCATTGTGCAATAACAGAGAGAGAGAGAGAGAGAGAGAGAGAGAGAGAGAGACAGAGAGAGGGAAGGAGAACTTGCTCTCTCTCTCTCAAAACAGCCGGTACAGAATTTTTATTTTTTGTTTTTAGCGCAAGTGCCCGTCAAAGTAGAATTAACGACATTACTAATAACAGTTCTGGCGGCTGTGGTGATAATTACAGCCATGGCGACGGTGTCTGCCGCAGTGTGCTACTGCAAGTATTGTAATAACAGGGATGGTGAGTTTAAGAGACTTTGTTATTAAGATTTATCGAAGCATTCTGTGATTCGGATTGTTAATAAAAATGACGTATCACGACCGTTATACGTTCGACTAACAATATTTACTACTCAACTGCCCCGACTTCCCCCGGGTAGGATCTAACTATAATATTATCTGACCTATTTAGATTTAGCAAAATTAAATTTGAAATAAAAAAATGTCTCATACATTTTTGGCAAAAATATAGCCTAAATCACTTCGGTCATTACTTTATATATATATATATGTAACATAATTAACGCACTTTGAGAAATTAGTTTGTTCAGAATCGTTTATTGAATCGATTCTTATTATTTTTAATATAGGTAATTTTTATCCCAAAAATAATTAAAACTACGTAAATTACAGTCACACTAAATCTGTACAGTCAAAACAAAATGAAATGGACCGTAACTTAAGGCAATAAGACTTTTAAGAGTGCAGTTTTATTTGTATTATTACTAATTCGGTCATTCAATAAAAATAAAGAAAAATGAACTTTATTTCAAGCACGTTAAAGTCTTTGCGTTCGTGGATTTGTACTGTGACCACAAAATTCTTCCGGACTAATAAATAACTAATTTGATAAATAATCAGTGCATAAAAATGTTTAACTAAAAATTCAGTGTATGTATTATGATTATAACATAATATACTAATTGGGGTGTCTGAGGGTGTGCGTTAATTACGTTACATATTGTATATATATGTATATATATATATATATAAATATATATATATATATATATATATATATATATATATATATATATATATATATAAAATTGGAATCTCGGAAACGGCTCCAACGATTTTAATAAAATTTGTGTCCAGGGGAGTTTCGGGGGCAATAAATAGATCTAGCTAGGATTTATTTTTAGAAAATGTGTTTTTGTCCATGTTTTCCGGCAATGGAAAACTGCTACAATATAAGAAGGTAGCTCAAGTGGATATCGAGCGGTCGCGAAATCGCAATGCCTTTGTTCGCGTCCTGTCTTCGGTTCGACTTTTATCCTTTTTTTTTCAAGTTCTCTTCTCTTGTGAGAAAATCTATTATTGCGAGCCCATTTTTTTAGCATTTTAAAAATACGAAAATTTTAATTAAACTAATTGCACTCATGATTTTTTATTCAAATAACCAGTTCAGTTTTTACTTTTATGTCAATAAGTTCAAAAAATATAATGATTTCTTATATTTACGCGAACATTGCACATTACTTTTACGGATTTTATCGCGTTTATTTTTACTTTTTATTTTTAATTCCCGACGTTTCGGGCGCTTTCCAGCACCCATGGTCACGGGGGACTGAGATGACTGACGTCCCGATGTCATTGTTAAACCCGGAGTACCTTCAGCTTTTTTAATTATTGTTTATGGTCCGATCTATGCAAAATGAACTGACTATGTCTTGAGTTCTTGCAGTGGTATGCTTGGGTTTAGTTTTAATTTTATTGATTATAGGATCCCAAGCAGGTGGTAGTACCCAGCCCCCTTCTCTATTGAAATTAGGATGTTTTTTAATTTCAATAGCCTCACGTATCATCCTTGGTAGGAATCGGTGTTCTTTCGCAAGGATTTGTAGTCTATCAAATCTGATGTAATGGTTGGGGCCATCTAGGATATGATCACAAACTGCAGACTTCCCGGAACGTTGATGCTTCACATCAGCTATATGTTCTTTTACGCGGGTCCTAATTGATCTTTTGGTTTGTCCTATATAAGAGAGACCACATTCACAATCAAGCTTGTACACTCCTGCATCTCGTAGAGGAATATGACACTTGACGGACGGTAGGAACTGACTAATCTTCTTCGGCGGCTTGTATAATGTTCTAATAGAAGCTCGCTTCAAGATATAGCCAATCTTGTCTGTGACACCTCTGACATATGTTAGTACAGCAGGCACACGCTCGACTGTGGCCGGCTTCACTCGGTCACTGTGACGTAGGCGCGGGACCCGAAGCTTGTAGTCGTGCAGAACTTGCTTGACGTGCTGAAGCTCGGCGGCCAGGTGTTTGCTGTCACAGATCCCTCGTGCTCTCTGTAACAAAGATTTGCCCACGGTAGCTAACTGTGAAGGATGGTGGTGAGATTCACCGTTTAAATATCGGTTTGTATGGGTCTTTTTCCTATACACAGTGTGACCAATGGTGTTATTAGGATTTCGGATGACTAACACATCTAGGAAAGGTAAGGAATTATTTGCCTCTAACTCCATAGTAAATTGAATTTTAGCGTTTATGGAATTAAGATGTTCTAAAATTGCAGTTACTTTGTCTGATGGTAAAATTGTGAAAGTATCGTCTACGTACCGCTTGTAGATCCTTGGTGTAACAGATGCAGTAAGGAGGGCTTTCTCCTCAAAGTCTTCCATGAATATATCGGCGACAATGGGAGATACAGGTGAGTTCATCGTCACACCATCTACTTGCTTGTAAAACTCTTTCTTCCACAATAGATAGCCAGATGTAGGGCAATGTCTTAGTAATACTGCATATTCTGCTGGCATGTTATTTTCCTTTAGTTTCCTAGTTATAATTGAGATGCAGTCTTCAACAGGTAGGCATGTAAATAGAGACTGAACATCAAAACTGACCATGGTTTCATTGTCTGTAAGATGTAGGTCTTTTATCTCACTGACAAAATGGTATGAATCCTTTTGCATAGATCGGACCATAAACAATAATTAAAAAAGCTGAAGGTACTCCGGGTTTAACAATGACATCGGGACGTCAGTCATCTCAGTCCCCCGTGACCATGGGTGCTGGAAAGCGCCCGAAACGTCGGGAATTAAAAATAAAAAGTAAAAATAAACGCGATAAAATCCGTAAAAAGTAGTTTTAATCATGTTCAAAAAATTACATCAAAAAAAAAGATCAACATATTATTTATTAAGTCGCTTACATTACGGCACATTGTAGGATAATTTATTTCAATATTCAAATATGTTTACTGACCTACATTACATTTGTCCAATAACGCCCTTTTCGCAAAACGGCCCCTTGATGGAGTGTCCAATTTGCACAAATAATACATTATTTAATTATTCAGTTATATCTTTATTAGTTAGTTTTAATAGATAGAATTTTTAATCGCAGAGAGTTCACAAAAATAGCAATATAATACAAATTATAATTCTCGTTATTATTTCAAAACTCAAATTATCCATTTTATTTTACGATATAAGTAATGGCTACGGAATTTCTCTCAAATTCCACTTAAAAATCGTAAAATTAATGACGGTACACTGCAAATGAAAACAACATGGCCGGTTTTCGTGAAAAGAATATTAAAACCATTACCAATAATTTTGCAATCAAGCGTCAAGTTTTCTGCCAATTTGCGAATGGGAAGATGTAATGAGCATGTGAAGCATTTTGCGAAAATAAAAACAGAAGACATACATATATGTATGATAAAAGATGATGTTTGTATATATGAAATTGTTTTACACAAAATCTATTTGATCGATATTATATATGTATTTTACAAAGGAGAGGGTTTATATTTAAAAACAAAAAAAATATTTTATTTTGATTTTATTTGCTTTTTTTTCATTCAAGCGCGGTAATTAAATTAAATTGCATGCGTTAAAATAAAAAAAAGTTGCTGAACTCCACCTATGATATTAACTGGCAGGACACAACGTCTTCGGAGTTCAGCTAGTATTTATTTACTAAAAAGCTGTAGTAGCAGGCCTCCGTCACTCGCTTTTTTTTGCGCCCGAAGCAAATATGGGCAACCCTCCGGAAAGCGGGGGAGGGAGGCGGTGAATGCTCATAGCATACCACGCAGCCGGCTGCGTGGTTATGTGGAGACTTTTACCCACTAAACTCAACCTTTTTAGGAATTGGCTTAACGATCTGACTAGAGATCTCTAAGCCGTATACGAACGCGACCCTCCTTGGCAGAAAGGAGGGCGCAGCTCGGCGCCAATACCATAGTCCATTATTTATATTGTAATTAATTTAAGTTTTCTGCTACTTTCAGCAATGTCACCGAAGCCCAAGTTAAAGGAAATGAAACTGGATTCCACGAAATCGACTGAGACTGAAACTCATAAGAAGAAACATTGAAAATTTAATATGTATGAAATACAAGGCTGTCTGAATGTTACGAAAGTGTCAGTAAATGTTGTACATACATATTAATAAAAATAGTAAGGAATTGTTGAGCAAATTTAAACTCTTTGTTGTGTATAATAAATACTAATTAATAAAATAAATTTTATAAATGTGTTATTCTTATTTATATCCCGAGTTATTATTATTATTAGTTTTGGGTTTATATGTAGTTTTCTCATATGATTGGGTTCAGCGCACGTTTCCCGCGCTTATCGTTGTAATGCCGAAACCACGTAATTATTGTGCAGACGATGGGTGTCAAAGTCAAAAAACAAATGAAAAATTGTCTTTTTTTGCATTGACTTACGTATCAAGGTATTTATTATAATAAGTGTAGCAAAAAACATAACTGCACTAGCTTCAATGATTTGTTACAGGAGATACCTAATGTTGACAAAACAACACTGTATACTCATTTCAAAGCCTATAATACAGATTCATCTTTTTATGATGGCTTAAAAGTACCACCAGAAAGGTTTAATAATCATTTTGAAGAATTAGAAAGAGCATTCTCAAATAATTTTGACAAGATCATAATAAATCGGCCTGGCAGCACCGTGTTGCAAATTTTACAAACCATTGATTTTCCTCTGCTTTGCTCCTCTTTTCCTCGTGATTATTTATTAAAATTATTTACGCGATTTAGGATATTTTCAACAATAAAATTTAAGAACCGAGAACTAAGACAAGAAAAAAAATTATGAATCATTTTATAAAACTCAAATATTTTAGATTGACAAATTATGGTTATAGATTTCGCAACATTCGTTTTATTACAACTTCGATCAACAATACCAACTAGATAACAGGTCACGTACAAAATCATAGCTAAATAGGTACTGTCAGCGTGAATAAAACTTAAACATCTACATCTGTTTACTAAAGAAATGAGACAAAAAATTAAAATAGTTTTAAGTTCAACCTAATTACAACCATCGCATCTGATAATAAAGTCACAAATCTTACGATCATTAGTCACAAAAATAAGAACTCGCATCTCATGTGCGCTCTTATTAACTGAGACGGATTTCTTGCGCCGAACCGACATCTAGTTGTTATTGTTGATCGAAGTATTACAATAATCATCATAGGGACAACCTTACGTGCAAGCGTGTCATCGCACGGCGGGCAACACAATCTCGACTCTTTATGCGCGTACTTATAATACATTTTTTCTCTCTGCGAGCAGCAGATATTATATTTAAGATTTTGTAGGCTATTATAGCGAAGGTATTTTCGCTTTTGTATGGGAGTGATGTATATGTTGGTAAACTAATTATTAATCTGTGGTAGTAGTCTGCTCGGCGCCCATACCATAGTCCATTATAGTTATTGTAATTAATTTAATTTTTCTGCTACTTTCAGCAATGTCACCAAAGCCCCAGTTAAAGGAAATGAAACTGGATTCCATGAAATCGACTGAGACTGAAACTGGTTAGAAGAAAGATTGAAAATTTAATACGTATGAAATACAAGGCTGTCTGAATGTTACGAAAGTGTCAGTAAATGTTGTACATACATATTAATAAGAATAGAGGAATTGTTGAGCAAATTTAAATTCTTTGTTGTGTATAATAAATACTAATTAACAAAATAAATTTTATAAATGTGTTATTCTTATTTATATCCCGAGTTATTATTATTATTATTATTATTATTTTTGGGTGTCTATATAGTTTTCTCATCTGATTGGGTTCCATAATTATATAATTGTGAATGAAAATGAAAAATATACATAAATATCAATAAAATAAAATAAACGGCCAAGGGTTGGGTGGAAAGGGAAAGAAATCGGCGGACAATGCGGGCGGTTATCGGCGGACAACTTTGAGCCCGGAGCGGTCCGTCACTGAGTCCCAGTCGCCTCAGATGATCCGAGAGGCTGACTGGGATTAGCCCGTTTGCAGAAACGATTACAGGTATAATTTCGGTCGACAGGCCATCCCACATGACGTTCACCACGTAAGCCAGGTCTAGATATTTTCTTTGCTTACGGTTTCGTCTTTCACGAGGTTCTCGTCATTTGGAATGGTAATGTCGACCAAAAATGTCCTTGACTGTGCACGGTTCATCAGCACAATATCAGGCTTATTCGCAAGAATAGTCCTCTCTGTGATGATAGCCCGGTCCCAGTAGAGCCTAGCGCGGTCATTTTCGAGCACGGCTTCCGGAAAGTACTTGTTATACGGCAATTTCCAGTCCTCGAGACCGTACTTTGGAGCTCGCTGCCTCGTGAAGAATTATGGCTACTAGGTTGTGCCTGTGAAGTACTCAGAGTTAGATAGCGCCGAACAACCGGAGATGACATGCCGAAGTGACTCACCGGAATGGCGACAAGCTTGACAGATGACTACGGTGCCATCCTTTAGTATGTATCTCCGATAGTTGTTGGTCTTAATAACCCGATCACACACACACAGACAAAACCCTCGGTTTCCCCAAAGAGGTCACCAAAACGAAGCCAGTTGAGGGACGCGACTGTGTCTACGAAAGTTACATGCTATTATTATTATATCGAGTATCTATATAGTTTTCTCATCTGATTGGGTTCCATAAATATATAATTGCGAACGAAAATGATAAATATACATAAATAACAATAAAATAAAATAAATACAAAAAATACATAAAATAAAAGCCCGACCAGATGGAAGCCCTCTGCAGGGCAGACCAAACGGGCGAGGGTTAGGGGGGAGAGGGAAAGAAACCGGCGGACAATGCGGGCGGTATCGAGGAGCACTGCCTTCTGCATTTGAGCCCGGAGCAGTCCGTCACGGAGTCCCAGACGCCTAAGATGACCCGAGAGGCTGACTGGGATTAGCCCGTTTGCAGAAACGACTACAGGTATAATTTCCATCGACAGCCCACCCCACATGTCGTGACCCGAAACCCATCTTAAAACGACCCTGTTGTTACAT